GCACGTAACGAGCTAGAATAACCGTTTTATCTCCGCCTCAGGAAAATAAGAACCCAAAACTCGCAACTGCACACCATACTGTTACTCGCTCACTAGAAGAAGCCTTCACGCTGATGCCGAGGCGGAAATTTTGCCTATAAAAAACCAGATAAATGAAAGTGAGCTTGGTCATTGGTAATCAGTAGCAGAATATTTTCAGTTACGAATTATCTCTTAGTAATAAAATATTTCACAATAAATGGACGGTGTTTACGACCCAACCCATATTTATGCATCAAAGATTTTCATAAAATTATAATGAATCACTTATTATTGATATCTCTAGTAATTCTCAAATTTTGAATGAAAATTGTGTTTTTTAAAAATTTTATTTCTTGTTATTGGTGTACGGCTGCATGTAATTTTTCATGTTTTAAAAAACTCCGGTAGAGTCTATGCTTCGTCGCAAGGGACCATTTGTAAAAGCCATGTCTAAGTCACCATTGGTAACTAACATGATACTATGATGTCACACGTGACTTTAAATAAAATGCGATTAAATTACAGATTCTTCTTAACATTTGCTATTGCACAAAAGTGACTCTTATTGAAGAATTTAAATCAAAAGTCGAAAAGCATAGACTGTAGAGTCTGATTATCTACCAACCAATTTGGCTCTAACCGGACCTTGACCTTTTGGACCTGGTATGGGACGATACACAGATTGTAGGTAACATTTGAGTTAAAAATGTAGTCTACGAAAGAGAAATGTTATTTCACGAAGGTCTTTCGACCAATGAAAAACATTTGCAGTTGTTGGAGCATCCTGAAAGAATAAATTTGGGAATTTCTCTATCTCTCTCACTTATTCATTTTTTTACCTTCCTATGCTTTTGCAGCATTTTATGGTAAAATTGATCTTCCATAGTCCAGAGTATATTTGTGCGTGCAACAATATGGGTTCTAAATCTTATATTCTGAGCATATCAGTTCGATTTAAAGTTTAAACTACATTCTGATTTTGAACTGATAGTGTTGATTAACTATTGCTCAAAATGACGCTTATTGAAAAACTTACGTCAAAAGTCGAAGAGCGTAGGTCGTAGTGTCTCAGCCTACCATCCAATTTGGCTCATTTTCGCGAATATCTTTAGGCTAATGGAAGGCATTTTCAGATGATAAAGCTTCGTGAAAGGAAGGTGACTATTCTATTGAACTATTCAGGTTCAATAAGCAACTCACCCACTTGGAACCCAACAAAGAAAAACGAAGTATAAACGGAATCGAGTGAGCATAGATAAAACGGTGCCTTTATAATCAGGAAAAGATAGTGAATCAAAGTACCGTACGCAAAATAATTATCAACAAAGTGGTGTCAACCAAAGTTCCCTCTAAGGTGCACAACTGCGTCAATTCGCAGTATCTCAAGACCATTTGCGCAATAAAATCTCATTCTCGCACACTTGCAAACTTACGTTTTTAAAACGTGGCTCGTCATATTTTCTAACGCCTAGCTGTAATTCCCGTTCCATGCTTCAGGTGTATTTTGGCAGCGACTGGTTATTGTGAAGTCACACACCCACGCGTGTCTGTTACGTCCGAGTACCTTGATTCCACTGGAACTGTACTCACCGAGTAGACCAGGGTATCGACGATGCGAGGTCACAACTATCCCTTATTCAAAACAGTGACAAGAACTGTCTATATACAGATCCGCGGTTTAAAAAGAAAGACTTGCAGGCTACTACTGAGGCATCTGGTCATATCTCTTTCTAAACCATACATGATGCATGGTGGCTGTATCGACATTTTGACATCACAGCACTTGTGACAAGCTACAGTATGAGTTGAATACTGCAAAAAAACAAGGAATTCGTGATTCAGTGGCAGTTTTCTGCGTTGCAAAACTGAAATCAAAGCTGCATTGTTTGTGCTGAAGGATATTCTAAAAGATGATTAATCAATGGCATTCCAAAAAACTATATCACTCCGAAGAAAACACAAGTAGTCGCTTAGAGCAAGATTGCCAAGCTTCAAGCGCAGTATTTGGATGACACAAACACTGGAATACGACTGCCATGGGTGGATAAATAGAGAAGCATTAACTATGGAAGAATTGGCTCAGTAGTCAGATTTATTAAAAGACTGTACTCATTGAAAAGACGGATTTCCAGATGATAACAAAGACAAAGAAGCTTTTTGGTGCATTTTGACTACAGCTCAATAATTTCAATAAACAAGCTGATTTTGATTTTGTCTTCAGTGAATTAGTAGAGCTCTGTAGAAAATTCAGCCCATTCCTGCACTGCCATGGTCCTGGGAATGAAAGTGATACTAGAAATGTCTACAATGATTTTAAAGGCAAAGGACTCAAAAAAAGTGGCAGTGTTTGTTGCCTCCTTCAAATATGCTCTTCCTTCCAAGCCCCCGGTGCGACTATGAACCAGGGTACAGCCTCGTGAACAGAATCAAAATAAAGAACAGGCTGAAGTCGTATTTTCTGGACCAACTCGTGATGACAAAGTTTGTAAATCATTTAGGACTATGCTCGGCCCTAAAATATTCATGCTCAGTAAAACAAATATTTGCTCAGTGTAAAATTTTCTCAGAGGTGGTTGTGTCATCCGCTAGTAATCTGCACGAGAAACCTGCAATTGTGACAGCGCAGGATTTGGAAAAGAAAGCGAATGGTTGAGGTAAAAAAGCAGATCGAGATCGCCAATTAAAGACAGTAGCAGTGGAGATTTCAGTTTCAAATTTGTTCTCCGTAAGGTTTGCGGAAACAGTTCGAACTTGTCAGACTTTTTTTTCATAGCTCTCGAGTTTTCAAAAAACGAGAAATACAAAAGGAATTCGTTAGAAATATTAGGTGACATGCGTGATATAACTGCACCCCATAACACACTGCTGGAAGAGTAAAAAAAAAGTGTTACAACATATTCGTATGGGGGCTCCCGAAGTATGCGAACCAAGATGGCGGACATCGGAATGTAATATGTGTACTAGGTTAGGGTTAGGCCATAATTTTAGGTATAAATACTACGGGAGGCTCTTGGCTAGTCTTCGAACTGATAATAGGACTAAAATAAGGAAAATTGGAAAAAAATTATCGCCTAACCCTAACCTGTTACCCATGTTACGTTCCGATGTCCGCCATCTTGGTTCGCATACTTCGGGAGCACCTTCGTATGTTTAAAACAGTTAGAAGCCATTACGTACACAAAAAAGCTAAATATCAATACCTTCCTCTAACATTATATGTTGCTACCCTGCATCAAATGTATATAACATTTTGCTCATATCATAATATTGAGAATCCAGTAAAATACAAAGCAGCTTACTCAACAATTTTTCGAGAAAATTCAGAAATAAAGTTTCATCAACTAGAAGAGATGATCGGTGTGATGCATGCGACATTACAAAATAGTCATGCCACATCAATAATGAAATCAAAGATGAAGCATGATAATGAAGAATTGAACAGATTTCCTTAAGTGAAAATAAATAAAAAAGCACAAGACAATAAGCATCTCCAAGCATCGGCTTTCGACTTCAAAAAAATCCTTCTGACACCTGCAGGAAAAAGCTCCTCATTTCAATGTAGCATGAGACATCAAAATTACAAGTTTACGGTTCCGAACGTAAAGGCTAACAAAAATGTCCTTAGTTGGTAGGCTACTTGTGAAACAAGTAGGAAGCAAAAAGAAGATCAAATGAGCTGACCTCCTCACGTAAGATACTTACAATGAAGGGTGAGAGATGCGCTGATGAACTACAACGGCGCGGTATTCATCATGCTATCCTTCGCCCACTTGCATAGCCAAAAGAATGATTGTGCACATTCTCTTATTGAAAGAGTGGCAAAACGGCTCCACAACTTTACCACTGATCAATGGGATCTGCCATTGTGACAAACCGACTATGTAAAATGGAACTGTAAATATTACTCAAATGTCTCATAGTGGCATTTTTGATTTTAAATTGCGAGAAAAAACTTGCAATGTTTGAAGATGTTTACAAGTCGAATATAAAAATAAATGACTCAAGGATTCAATGGTCGAAGATTATGCAAGTAACGTTTTCTGTGGAACAAACAGATTAGTTCAAGTACATAAATGCTGGAAATAATTTCGTGAAGTTTTATTTGTAGAAGTAAGAACCAGTCGACGGATTTCAGAAACCCAGATTAGTGAGGTGAGAAAATCCTACAAAGCACGACTCAGAGTTACAACTAAAAAATGATCAGGCAGGCGGCGCAAAAAAAAATATTCCAGCTCAATATCACACACTTATATGACATTTTCGCGATTTAGAATGACATCGATTAGACGTGGTGATAATTCTTTCTTTCATCGAATTCACAAGGGTAAAAGCCAAAAAAAAGCTTATTCCATCTTAGGCCTAAATTGAATTGAGTGACAGCAATAGTTTTTACGAAATAACTGACAGTGTTACACAATATTCAAGGTGAACAATATATATCACATAATAATCAAGAAAATGAAATCTCGCGTAACTGTTTATTCTGTGGGTTTAGAAATTGGAATACAAATTGCAAAAATGGATAAGCATGTAGTAATGGTTAGCGAATGAAGTGGTTGCAAAGCCACATCAGCAAAGAAAATAGCAGCCAGAAAGTACCGGCACAGACAAGAATATCCATAGTTTAGTTTTAACTTGATAGAAGATCCACGCTTTTCATGGCCTTCTGGGTGGCTAAAAATATCAAATCAGTTTGTGGTCTCCACTCCAGTAAATTGAGAAGACATCTTGATGGAAAACATGAATTAGTAAAGCACAGAACGTAAAGCGATCGAATTTTACGTACGGTCTCAAATAAGGCCTTTTAAGCAAGCTGTGCTGGGAAAAAAGCTAAATGGATGTGTCCCCGAGCATCGAATTCCTTGTTTATTTTCGTAACAATGACCAATCAGAAAAAAGTCAACGATGACGTAACAGTTGTAATTTTCGCAGCCGCTAAGAGTAAGACGGATAGCCTATTCAAGCATGGCTGTGAACATTGCCTCGTTTTCGCGTGTTATTTGTCCGTTTTCAGTTATGTTACCTAGACTTAGTTGTAAATTAGGTTTAATTGTCATTATCTCCTGCAATAATCAAAAATTAGTCCCGGAAAGCTGCGATAGACTAGTCTAAAATTAGGTATCATTACTGTGAGAGGCGCGTGGTTGTACGGCACAGCGTTGTCGCCTGCTTGGATTTTTTGTCTACTGAACCAAGTAAGCTATCGGTAAGTACCGTATAGTATAATTTCAGTAAGACCTAATATTTTTGGGTTATATAAACGTATTAAAATCTAAATTTTTGAACATATAGTCACCTATTGAGAATCACAGTTTCTCGGACGTAATAAAAAAAGATATTACAGGAGTAATTAGTAGAAAAACATCATGTCGGACCCAATTTTGGACAAATGTGCCTGGTTTTTGATGAGGTGAGTACGGTATCAGTGATGGTAATTCTCTTTAATTAAAGACATTATTAATTTCAAGATCTCCTGCAAGGATTTCAATCTATGGTTTTTGTATTCATTGTGCAGATGATGTTACATGAACATGCATGTAAGTTTGAACACACATTTCTCAAGTTTTTGATCCAGAGATATACTTGCATTACTGCCATTCCGACCCCTAGAATGTCTATACCTCTGATTATAAATTTAAACTATTACTGCATTGTTTATTTAAAGAGATCACAGCTGTTGAGATGAAGCTCTGCGAAATTACTGGACATATTATGTTCCATACTTCACGTGGTCTGACGTTGCATAAAAGAAAGTCTCATAATCTCACTTCATTACTTGAATTTGATGTTGTTAAAAGATTCGAAAAGTCGTCTGAAAATTGTGGTTACACTTGCTCCTTTTAAAATTTATTCATGATCTTCTTTATATTTTGGATAATAACTTTGGATCCAACAAACTACAAGGTATTTCATCGCTTTTTCAAAAAGAATATGCGACACAACTGCAAGGAAAGCACAATGTGAGACAACGTTTGGTAATATTTAATTTTCCATGCCCAATCCTATTATTTATCACGTCCTCGTTAACTAGAAAGCTCCAAATAGCATATATTTTATTTGAATTCCAGTCAATACTTACAAGGATCCCACAGTTGGGAAAGGAAAAACCAAATAATGTATTGAAGTCTCAAGAATATACCATACCACCATGGCCGGTTTTACTCTGAGGAAACTTTACAAAACTAAAAATGCATTTGAAAGATATAAACCTAGACTATTTATTACATGTGTATATCATTTGATAGTACCAATACAATTTAATAATAGTTCAAAAAATTATGAATATCTAGGACTAGGTCATAATACCTCCGATCGATTAAATCTTGTTCACTACATTGCATATTCCACGGTTCTATGCCCATTTTTATTGTGAAAATTCAACTTTTTTTCAGTTGTTCGAATCAAACGCTATTGCGTATATATATTAAAAACTATATGTTGAATGTTTGTATGTCTCAGTTGGTTCGTCTCTACATTTTAATCAGATAAGTATATTTAAATGATGTTACAAATTTCAGGAACTTCATTAAAAAGTTGGCAACAGGACAGCTTCCTGGCACTTACAAATGCCAAGATAGAGGGCAATGGGCTAAAAGTCCAACAATTGTGAATTTTTTAATTAATGTCCAGAAAGAACTGAATGAATGTTTTGCGACAAGATCAAATGTCGTACCAATTCAGAAAATAATGGAAAATATTGACTTCTCGTATTTAGTGAATTCTTCTGAGACTGATGAAGTCAATGCAGCAATACGAACTATTGAAAAGATTTGTAAGTTATATACAGTGGTGGGATTCAAATTTTTGTCAGCCGGTTCCATCATACAAATGTCATATTTTCAGCCGGTTCTTTTGCAAAAAGTCATTTGATGCTAACCGGTTCGCTGATCTCATAAAATTCTATAGAACCGGCTGAATCCCACTACTTGTTATATATAACCAGCACAAGTTTCGGTTATGCTAAAATGCTTAGCAGCGGGTGTAAAAGTGGTAAAAATTTGCTTAGTCAGTCTCCAGCGGGAAAAGAGTGGAGAAGTACAGATCGAAAATCGAAGAAGTTTATTTGCAATACTTTGCCCAATTTGAAATGGAGTTTCTTCTTCATAGTAAAATTCAAGCAAGGTGAGGGATTACAAACCCCTGCGGGACTGTATGGCATTGTAGCCAAAATCCACCACTGCAAGATCGTTGCTCCTCCGACCAATGCACCCTTGGTGACCGAACTATGACTCCAAACAATCTGAAATATCAATTATGTGTAACACATTTCTGAAAAAAGAAACTTTAACCCTGGTTACAACGTCTGGTGGTGTTATAGGGGCTTTATATACATTTAAACAATTTTTGACCAGTGACGCTATGGTGACTGATGTTGAAAGCAAACCCTCTCCAGTACTCTTTGTAAGTAGCATTGTTTCAGCAAAATCTGGCCTGCTTTCGGCGCGTTGTCACCAAATGATCATATATTCTATTAAATAAACACCTTGTATAAAATTGTAATTTAAGAAAAGCGTCAAGACCATGTTTAATATAGAATATTTGTGTATTGTCATTTCTGCATTCATCACAAAAATGTCAATGAATGTTTTGGCCCGCGCGACATTTAAACTTACCAAAAAAATCTGATATGAGCCACTTCAACAGTGTGTGGTTGGGATCCTTTACGGCGCTTTCTTTTCAGTGGTCACGGTTACCCGTATTCATCAGATCGAACCAATAATTTGTATTAAATATCAACTCCGATGAAGACTTGTATCCCCTTTTACACATTTCTGATTCAATGGATGAAGGTGAGACCTGTATGGTGGCCCAACGTTGTCACGCGTAAAATTGAAAATAAAAAATAAAATAAAAAACCGAAAATAAGAAAATAGTTGTAAAAAAACATAAAAATAATTAAAAAAAAAAGGAAAAAAAAATTAAATTAAAAAAAATAAATAAATAAAAACGAAAAAAAAAAAACAAAAAAAAAAAGGAAAAAAAAAGAAAATAAAAAGGTTGACAACGATTGTCCGCCTCGTGGCCCATCGTTGTCACGCGTTTTTATTTTTAGAAAATTTGCTTCTGCTTGGGACCAACGTTGTCAGGCATAATCCTACGCGCACAAATGTGTTCCCTGGGTTTCCAACTCACTACTGATTTTCTTGAGCAATATTCAATATGAAAATGTTCTATAAATTCTCCATGCTACAAGTTCAACAAGAAGTATTATATTTTTAATAATGAGAAGAGAATATAAAATTGAATACGAAAATTCGGAAAATTTGTTTTTACGTGTATAAGGTAATTTAATTGGAGAATGCTGCTCAACTACTCAGTTGTCTGGACACTCGCGACGCCGGTACCGTACCGTCTTACCAAATACGGTTAGTCGGTTATAGTCGCTTTGCGTCTGACCGTACCGGTAGCCATACAATCACTCATGAAAGAATGGGAGATACGGATAGTCTCGTAGAATATAGACTACTGAAACACTCTCTGCGCCTGCCCCATACCGTACAGCCGTAACGTACCGATCCAGACAAATGATAAATCGCCCGTGCTCAACCATTTATTTCAATCCATACCTCGATCCTAGTAGAATATAATGAGTCGAGGTATGGATTGAAATAAATGGTTGAGCACGGGCGATTTATCGTTTGTCTGGATCGGTACGTTACGGCTGTACGGTATGGGACAGGCGCAGAGAGTGTTTCAGTAGACTATATTCTACGAGACTATCCGTATCTCCCATTCTTTCATGAGTGATTGCATGGGTACCGGTACGGTCAGACGGTACCGTACTGGCATCGCACGAGTGTCCAGACAACTACGCAGTTAAGCAGCATTTTCCAATTAAATTACCTTCTACATGTGAAAACAAATTTTCGTATCCAATTCTATATTCTCTTATCATTATTATAAATATATTGCTTGTGGTTGAACTTGTAGTATGGAAAATTTATAGAACATTTTCATGTTGAATTTATTGGATATTGCTCATGAAAATCAGTAGTGAGTTAGAAACCCAGGAAACACATTTGTGCGTGTAGGATTAAGCCTGACAACGTTGGTCCCAAGCAGCATCAAATTTTTCAAAAATAAAAACGCGTGACAACGATGGGCCACGAGGCGGACCATCGTTGTCAACCTTTTTATTTTCTTTTTATCCAATTTTTTTTTTAATTTTTTTTGTTTTTTTTTTTCAATTTTTTTTTTAATTTCAATTTTTTTTTATTTCTTTTTTTTCAATTATTTTTATGTTTTTTCACAACTATTTTTTTATTTTCGCTTTTTCATTTTATTTTTTCATTTTTTTTTTAAATTTTACACGTGACAACGATGGGCCACCATAGACCTGTATGAAAACGACTTATAATGGAACAAGTCGAAAAATTGTTATATATATATTCTTTCTCATTTTAGCAAAAAAACAACCTGTGCTGCCAGAGCATGATATTATTTCTGACGTTTTAATCGAATGCGGAGGATTATTCATAAAATATATGTACCTTGATATAAAAGAATAACATTATAAATAGCGATATCATAATGCAATAACATTAATACAATAACAAAGAGTTACTTTTAACATCGCGGGGATTTTTCATTCTATATTTCGATACCCTGTTCTCAGCTTGACATAAATTTGAGAAGCATTTTCTGTTAGCCGGAAGACCGTCCGTCCACTGCAACCCAAAAATCATTGAATAAAAATGTGTTGTAAAACTTCATTGGCAACGCCTTAGTTTGACACGAGTTTTATATCTTCTCGGTGTCGTATAATCTTGGCCCAATGAAGATAGTCGACTAGGCCTGGGCATTTTCGAATACCTGATGATTTCAAAATCGAATATATGTTACTGAACACTCACACACAATAAATAACATGTCTTAGCAATAACAACTTACTACGAAGAAAAGAGTCATATGCCAGATTGGCATTTTAAATAGCTGGCTTTATTGAAAAACAAATAGGATTCACGTCATACTTCGGCGGACAAAAACAAGATGGCGGCGATTAAAATTTGTTACCTGAGCAGATTCGAATAATTTACTATTCGATTCGAAATGCCCAACCTTATAGTCGACATACAACCACGCACCTTAATAACTATTGTTGACTTACCTACTACTCCAATTATTGTAATACCGGTCAATATTAGTAACTGCTGAAGAACTCTCAACAATAGCACAAACAATCCGTCTGAATTAATTACAATAGTTGGGTAATATGCGATTAGACGGCACTAAATTATTGGAAAAAGTTTCTAAGGTTTTGTTATGAGCCTGAATCAAGATTTATACGCTGCTTCTCAAACCTCTGAGAAAAAATGCTAGTACTTGGCTTGCAACTGCGTTAATATCTAAAACTAAGCTGGTTATTTTTTCGTCACCGTAGTCATCGACACCCAACAAGGGTCACCTGTTTTTATACGATTTTTCATGAAACGCCAATAGTTAAGTTGAAGTTGTTATTGACGATTGTCATTTTGTAAACGACATATTCTTGATCTTCGTCTCATCAAATATTATCAGTGTCACTCTTTTGTGTACGCAAAATGCTGTTGTAACAGTTTGCAGAATTTCTTCTATAACATTCGCTGTAATTCTAACAGGTTTAACTGCGTTCCTTTGCTTGGAAGGTAATACAAGGACTTTCTGATATCTTAAACATTCATAAGCATAAATTCATTGTTGGAAACAGAATAAACGGTACGCCGTGACAGTATAAAGTAAACAACTAAGTGGTCTACTCTTTAGAGTTGGGGTCGGCAACCTTATTCATACCGGAAGACAAATTCAACTCGTTTTCGCCAGGCAGTGAAGAATTTCTACTCGCAATTATGTATCTGAAACAAAATATCGTATATAATGCTTTTCGTAACGCTTGTAACATTTTGAAAAATGTATATATGGCTTCATTTAAATTGGTGCCTGTTCCTGATTAAGAAATGAAGGTCAAAAATGACAGTAATTTGCTTGAGGTTGTGGATTCGGCCCACAGATGCCTACTTCTCTCGTAATAGAATTGTCATATAAAGGCATACCCGATACAGACCACAAAACCACCCTAAAGCAACTCAGTGGTTTGATTCGCTACCAACGGATGCGAGTCGGATTAGAGCTCCATAAGTGAACACGAACAGAAGCCTCAGCACAAAAATCAACGTCTTTTACTGATTGTCACGTTACAACCGAGTAGTACAATATTTGCTTGCTCAAACAAGTTGGAAATCTGGGTCGGTAGTTTCACATTTCTTCCGTTGTCACAAGGAGTTAGCGATCTGCAAAACGATGTATTGAAGGAGATTGCGAATAATTACAACCATCTTTGTAACAAGCGAGAAAAGTAAAATGAGTTGACATAGGCTAAATTGCGCAAAACTCATAAGCGTTAGAAAGATAATTATTCATAGAATGACTCATATTCTACTCTGACACACTCTGGAAACTGTTTGTTCTGATATTTGCGCCTACAACTATCCTACTACGCTATCCCAATTTTCTACATCAGCAGTTTGCACCCCAATTTGAGTGCGGTAAATTTCCAGTAATACCTGCAAATGCACCGATGCGAATCATATTTAGTAACTATTCCTCAATTATGACGTCGCAACCAAAGCATATTTAAGTACTACCGTAATATTCTACGATAGATATTGATAAACGGAAAAGAAGCCTTAAACCACGCTTAAACTGCGTTGATACAAGGTGGTAAAAATGTAGTAATTTTTGTACAGTTTCCAACATCTGAAACCAGCTTAAGAATGGAGAAATCAGTTATCGATTTAACAGATCATTTTGTCTCGAGAACGACAGTCACAGAATGTTGCGTCTCCGGGTTTAATTTACAGATAATATAAAGAGACAGAATGATGATGAATCGTCCCATTCAGCAAGCACTTGCAATGTTCTCATTAATATTCAAAATAAACATGAGAAATAATATAATGGTAAGGTGGGTGAATAATTATTCTGGGGTCAAAGGTCGAGGAACATTACACGTTAAAGTTGGGTTATCACGGAATTTTATTTTATTTTTGATACATTTGTTTCTATATATTTTCCAAAATTTCTGACGCTCAATATTCACATCAAGTCGTATTAGTTTCATACTTACGTTACAGCAATGGGTCAGGCACAGAGATCGAGTATACTTTAACCTCGATTCATTAAGTTTACTGTCATTTCTAATAGGGCAACGATAATGTTTGAAAATATTGGTATGTATTTAAATCACTGTATCGTTTGCCAAAAGCAACGCCCAATAGGACTTGCATACAGTTCAAAATAAGTACAAAGAACTCTATATAGCCTT